GGGGTGGGGAAGAGATGCTGCCCAGGGAATGATCAGATAAAAGAGAAAGGAGTCCGCAACAGAGTAATGGCCAGAAAAAGAAACTTAGAAAGGACCCACTCTAACTACTGAGGTGGTAAATAGGGAGGATGGGAGGTTTGTACTTTCAGACTTGCAAGACGCTGTTAATGTAGCCTTACAAGAAAGTAGAATTCGCTCATCTAGTCATGTTTCCTGTCTGGTTTACCTGGGAGGGCTGACAATAGTTTAAGTTTTCAGCTTTGGTCCCTCTGCATTCTCCCTCTTTACCCCAACCCTTTACCCCCCCCCCCCATGCTGGAGCAGGTCATCAACAGTTCGAATATTATATAATTCTATATTGTTTATTTCCAAATGTAAAATGATATAAACAATACTGATAAAAATGTAATGTTCAAAAAATAGAAATCAAAAAGAGGCCTTGCTCTTTAAGAACATGTGTCTAAAAGAAATACACATTATAATAACAAATGAAAATTACTCTTCATTGTAAAGTGCGTTGTATTAAGAATTCCTCTACCTTGATGCCAACTGGATTGAATTACTTCTCTAAATTTGGAGTGTTTGTAGTGTTTTGGGCTACCAGGGATTTTCAGCTGAAAATGAGACAATGAGACAAAAATAATAGGAAGACCATCATTAATTTGCTTTAAAGCTTTTAATAAAAACTATGCAACTACTACCTGTTATGCCATCATCCCTATAATATTTCACTCTGCTTTGCCAACATTTGCAACTGTGTCAATAATCCTTCTATTAGTCTCGTCGCCTAAACAAATGTCTCCTAAATGCATTACAAAGAAGCTGATGATACACTTTGGATGCTGTTAGTTGACATGGAGCATCTGTTCTGTTTAATCTCAATTATTGATAGCTATGATTCATCACCGAGTCTAGCAGTGGAAGGCTTCTGAAAGGGTAATTAGACTGATTAGATAGGATGAACTGTATATCCTCTTTCGAGGGGGGGGGGGGCTCTACTTTTTTTTAATAGATTAATTGTTTCAGGAAGAAAGTAAAGAAAAATGTTCTAATTGCAAAGGCCAATTTCCAAAAGACAGCAGCAATAACACTGATTAATGGGCTTGCTTTTAATGCAACCCAGTGCACAAGCCACCTTTCTCCTTTCCTATGTATGAAACACTCTCAACAATAACAGTGTGCTGGCAGAACATTCCACTGGCTTTCCAATTACAGAGTAAGAACTTGTAGGTATTCTTTCTGGGTGCCTCAGAACTACCTTGCCAAGTCTTTTGAAACATCTTCTAGTCCAGTGTTTCTCAACCTTGGCAACTTTAAGACCTGTGGATTTCAACTCCCAAAATTCCCCAGCTAGCCTTTGCCCTTGCTGGTTGGGGAATTCTGGGAATTGAAATCCACAGGTCTTAAAGTTGCCAAGGTTGAGAAGCACTGCTCTAGTCCATTGAGGTTAGCTGATAGGATATGGGATTTCAGCATTACATTTACCATCTTTTTTTTTCCCCCTGGTAATCAGCTAGAGGAAATAAAGCCTACTAGAGCACTCCAGTGGCTTCATTGTGAGTTTAGGAAGGATGAGAAATTTTATTCTTAATATTTATAGTTAAATTAGCTCATACCTCGGCTAGGGTGCTTTTTCTAATTAAATGTCAATATTGTAGTTAATGATTTTTTAAATGGAATCAATTAAAATATCTCTCATACATATTTGAACAGTAGCTCTGATGGCTCTGGGAATAATGTAATTGCCTGCCCTCCATGACTATGTAAAGTCCAAGAATACAAGAAGTTCAATGTATCCATATAATTCTTATTTTCTTGATGTCACTTATACCAGGCATTAGCAGAAAAAGCCACCCGTGAAAATGGTACTTCATTTTCCATTTACTCTAAAGGGGGGCAACCAGAGGCTTATCTGATAAGCTTTTGGCTCGCCTTTCACTGAACTCTGATGTCAACCTACTCATTGCTCTAGCAGATGGTTTTGCTTTTTTACCAATAGGAATGTCACTCACAAAGGTATTTACTTCTGGATAATGAAAAGGTTTAATTCATCTTTAATTTTAAATAAATAGATAAGGTTTAAATTTTCTTTTAACATTTAAGAGATAAAGAATTCTTGTAAAGCCATCATCAAAATTCAACCAATACTGACATTTACAGGTTCCTACATTATATCAGATTGTGAGCATATTTATTGGGTATTAAAAAAAGTATCTACTTTAGATTCATTCTAGATGTTTATGTATACGAAGTTACACACAAAAGGTTTCTACATGTTGTATCTAGCAGTAGTCAGTTAATGGAACCACTAGCCCCACCTCAAAGGTGATTTTATTGTTTTCTCAACCCAAGAATTATTAATTAAGTAACATGTATCCTGCTTAAATTACAGGAGTAACTCTAGGCATTTTACATGTTAGGATTAAAACAACCTTAGAAATAATAAAAATAGTACATAGCTATATATCAGGGAGGATAACCAATTCAAAACAATTATAATAATTGGGAATAAACTACAAGGGAGTAAATCATTACCCTCTACCCCACCCTGCTGGAAGTAGCTCTTTCAGCAGGGTTGAACCTTATGAACATTCACTAGGGCCAAGACCATATGAACCTCAGGGCAGGTGAAGCTATAGCGAAGGTGCCTTCTAGGTTCCACAAGATGACAATGTTTTACAGTTGGGACTTAGAGCATGCCAGCTGTTCCAGATCTTATTGGTCAGGCAGATCCCATGGGTAACCAATTCCTAAACCATGTAGGGCTTTATAGGTGGTAGCTAACACTTCAAATTGTTACCAGAATACCAATGTTAACCAGTGGAGCTTACAGAATAGAGATGTTACATGGGCAAAATAAAGAATGCTCATAACTGCTTATGCAACTGCATTCTGGACCAGTTGTAGCTTCTGAGTGGTAATCATGGGTAGCCCCATATATAAGGCATTGCAGTAGTTCAAGTAGGAGGTGATTAGACCAACAGTGACTGTGAGAAGGGCTCACAATCCAAACAAGAATGCAATTGGTTCACATGATGGATTTGTGCAAAGGCTACAGCTGCCACCTGCTCATTAAATAGGAGCTGAGTGCCCAGGAGGACACTCAGACTACTGCAAATTCTACTTGGGGAAGTGCAATCTCATCAAAAAATAAAATCTCTATGACTGGAAGGTCCTTGAAACCAAAGCTAATCAGTCTTGCTTTGGTTGAACTTCAGCCTGTTACTCCCCATCCAGACCCTTACATCCTCCTGGCACCAGAATCCACAGCATTCTTTTTCCAGACCAGGATTGAGATATAAAGCTGGGTATCATCCACATACCAATAATACCCAAATGATCATGCTAACAGATGATCTCATCCAGCAGTCTCATGTAG